TTATTATTATTATTATTATTATTCTCAAAAATATTAGAAAGAAGAAGAATAATATAAGGTGGAAAGATGGTTGTTTTCCACTTTATTTTCACTACCGCCAACCATGTGAACTTAGAGCTTTTGAAGCTTAAGTTACACACAAACATTCTCAAAAGTAATAATAATGCAAGTTACACACCCAAGTAAGTAAGCATATCTATCTTCCTTTTTAGCAACCCTCCTTTTTTTTCACTCACTTTTCTTCTGTTTTTGGCAGACCACCCACATGTTACTGGCTAACATAACCTATCCAAATCAAACTAAAGTCTTCACATAATTATTCAGAGTGGTCCATTGAATTACAAATTATTTCATCTTTCTTATACTTCATCCATTTCAGATTAATTGCAATATTTAAACTTTGCGTTTGTCAAATAAGTCAATATGCAATCTTAAATATGGGATAGTTAAGGATATATCTGTTTCATTTTATTTTAACTTATTTTTGTTTGAATTTCAGACAAATTATTCAGAAAAAATGGATTTAGATAATTTCATATGCAAAAGTCCCAAAAAATAAAATCGGACAAAATAATAATTTAGAAAAAATAAGTTTAAATTAATTTCGATTGTGTATTGTCAGACAAATAAGTTGAATCAAACATAGCCTAACAAAAAAATACATAGGTATGTAGTGGTATGTATGAATTACTTATAAGGTATGGTTACTTAAGCTGAATGTGCTTTCTGCATTTAATTGGTAACAAAGACGTTATTTGGGCTTTGGGGACCAAGAAGGTGAGGTGTAATGCAAGTATGCAACAGCCGTTGATATGTAGGTAGCAATGTGGAATTTATGCAACAATTTGGTATTCATGGTGAATGTATTATTAATGTCTTTGTTATAAATCGACGATTTTTGTACAAGATCAATTCAAAGTCAAATATTCATTCATGGCAATGTATATAATAAGACAAACTTCAATTAATATACATTTTGTTATGTGTGTCTATATATAATGGCAACTAGTATTTAGACCGGAAGATATCTAGATTAACATAATAATAATAATAACGGTTAGTTACTTATTCTTATGTATTTTTCTTTAAAATAAGAAGAATTGTATTATCGGTCTAGAACCTCTCACAAAAAGAATCAGTTATTAAATTTTTTTGGTTCGCTCTCGTCCAAACCCAACAAAAACCAGTTTTAGACCTAAACATTTATATTAAAATCATATACTTTAATATGATTAAATTTTACTTTCAATGTGTAAAAAATATTTTAATTTTATGAGCTACTTCATATTAAACCTTCAAATTAATTAGGCAATAAATAATTATTTTCTTTTACACGTACGAAGTATAAATAATTCATCTCATCAAATTTAAAAAATTAAATAAAATTTCTAAAACCTATCGAGTTCGAGTATGGATCGATTTTATTGGTTTGGTTATAGCACAGCCGGTCCGAACTACAGATCTTGCATTTAATTTTTCGGTCTGAGTCCGTTTTCGGTCTTGGATCGGTGAATTGATTTGTCTTGCCTAGCCACGTTCTTTCATTCATGCATGCCCATATTAATGGACTGTCTAGAGTTTTAGGTGTTAAAACTTGCGTATTGTTTGGACTAGGCTAATCCCATCATGCATGCAGCATGCCCATATAAATGGACTGTCTGAGATGCTGGAGTTCTGGACCGGTCCAATTCAACTTTTATTGCAAGTCTTAAAACAATTGTTATTACGAGCAGCAACTCTAGCAACTACTCCCTACTCCCTACATTTCTTATTTTTTAGTCCTATTGCCAAAACATAAATTTTTATTAGTTTATAAGACATAATGTAGTCATGTGAAATCTTGTTAGATTTATCACATTGTATATTTTTTTTTAATTTTTTTTACGCGTATGAAAATGAAGGTATATATATATTTTAAGATGCGTGTTAAAGACCGCGAAATCAAATAGGGAAAAAAATAGGGATAGCGAGAATGACGACAAAAGGATAAAATAAAAAAGGGAGTAATTGTTTATTGCCTCATTCAATCTTCCTCCTCTTTTCTTTTTTTTTTCCTCAAATACATGCACATAATTAGTTAATGTCACCCATATTCCATAACTTAAGATCCTAATTAAGTAAGAAAATTAGATTTTTCTCCACTACATTAAAGGGTAATTCACTATTTATTGGACATTATGTGAAAAAAAAAAAACCCTATTAAATATAATGAGATATATATAGTTTGGTAATAATAGGATTAATATTAATATTAAATTTGGCAAAAGTTTAGTAAATAGTAATTTAAAGTAATAAATACACTTCATAATAAAAATCAGTAATATATGTTTTAATTTGTTAAATTAATTTGACTAAGAGAGCGAGGGACAGCTCAAGTAGTTAGAGCTTCCCTCTCGATTCCAGTAAATAAATACCGTGATAAAGTATGTATTGCAACTATTAAACAAACAGAGGAAGTTTATTCAAAAAAAGAAACGGAGAAAGTATGATAGAGTATAAAACATACTGTGAGCCTCAATCATCGGCTTAGTTTATCGAGTATTCCCTCACCCGTGAATTGGCATTCCGAAACCTATAAAACAAGAGGAAACCCCCCTCACCCGCGAATTAGAATTAGAAATACAAAAGATCGATGAAGAGAGATAGAGAGGAAGAGAGAGATACATCAATGGCGGCAAAACATAATGAAATCGCCATTGACAAGGGTAACAACAGAAATTGCACTATCCATGAATCCTATCCCAATAAAACGAAGAGAAAATTCATGCAGAAATATTAACATCGAGGCCCCTTTTTCCAATCGGATCCCGATGAACCTGCCGGAACTGCTGGCTCCGACGAAATTTTCCGGCGAGATTTCTCGGCGCCGACGGGCGAGGATAAGATGGACAAGACTATTCTTCCTAAAGTTATGCAGGTTAAGAATTTTGGCCGACTTGGCAGGACTAAGTGGACTCACCTTGTTAACGAGGACACTTCTGATTTCAACTCCCCGTAGTTACTCTCACTTTCTTTAATTTTTTCTGCTTTTCTAAATTTTTTGAATTGATTATTTTTGTTGTTTTATGGCTTTGATTATTGTGAATTTGTGAAATTAGGGTTTGAGTGGATGTTGTGGATGATTAGAGGGTTAAAAACTGACTTGACTAGACCCGACCTAACCTAAAGTCCGGTTTATTAGAAATTCGATTTGCTTGGTTATAATGATTTAACAACCCAACTGACCTAATGACCCGAATTGATGACACCTATTGCCTACATGCATGATGTAATTGTGGCTTTGTGAGCTCTCCTTTTTGCAATGGTTGATGGTCTGCTAGTTATTAGTTTTCCCGTGAGCAAAAGATGAATTGATTGTTTAGCATATGGTAGTCGAACTTATATTAGTAAAACAAATTACAATTAGTGAGCTGTATTTTAAAGCAGCATTGTCCGATGTGAATGTTATGTTTGCTAGTTTAAATTACAGTATTTCAATACTGTGCTTTAAATTGTACGGTATTTGTTACTCTGTACTTCATAATTGAAAGGGTTAAATTGTTACCGATAAAAGTGTTGTGACTTATATTACAGTACACAATTTTATTTTTTTTCTTAAACGTCACATATCTTATTATTTGAGTATGAAGTAAATCGCTTATCTTGCTATGCCAAAGATGGTCAAAGTGATACAGATCATACAACTATTAGATTGTCTTTTGGAAAAGGCGTAGCAATATCCGTAATACTCCGTAAATAATGAGAGATTTAGATGGTGTAATTTCATGTGAAAACTGTTTTATGCATGTAGAGAGTAATTAGTTTGTAGGGTTATGACTGAAGTGCATTAGCTTGTGAATGTATGTATATGTTGTCTATCATTTCATTCATGGTGTTATCTTTTATATTCTATTGCAGGCTGTCTTACAACCGTCCTCTCTCCATGAGACACAATGCATGAATGGGTGGCATGGACAAGCCGATATCAAGGCCTAAAGGCAACAAGAAGTTGAAGGATTGGGAATACTGAATTACTCTTCTTCGGGTTAGCAAATCCTTTCTTCTTAATTTCTTATGTACAGCCAGCCTAAGCAGCAGTTAGTTGCGCAGTGTGATAAAGGAGCTCAACAACATTGTCCTGAGTGACAGTTCTGTTTGTATCACAATTTTCTTATTGTTAGAATGCACCCTTTCTGTACTCTTCTATGTGCCGGATGTTTTATCTGTCACTTGATATCATGTTTAGTTTTACTTAAAGGGATGACATTCACAGCTTAAGCTTGTACTTTTTTCTGTGAGCTACGAAATAGCATCACCAGGACCTTATGCCGAAACTGTTAAGGTGATTTTTTTTGGAGCACCTAAATGACATGACTTACATGAACTATTGCTGCTACAGCTTATCTGATATAAGGTTGATATATCTGAACACCTTGAAGCCATTAATATAGCGATCATACTCCATTAGTCGTCATGAAGAATTTTTTTAGCATGTTCCTAAGGGATCACCATATAACTATGAAGCTTAGGCTTGAATTATTAGTTGAGGAGTGCATAAGTAAAGTCAAAAGTCAAATTGTGTCAATTAAAAAAATTAGATGAAGAATATGGCTTATCGAAAAAACAAGACATGTTAATTTGTGATAATTATAAAATTAGAAATCACAAATTCCTTAAGTGATTGTGAGTATAAAATACAAGCATTGAAACACATGAATGGCTGCTAATATCCAAACCTTTAATCCCCGACAATTTTATCATTTTATGGCATCAGTTCACCACAGTTGGGCTATCACAGTGCGAATATTGGATTCAGATTGGGTCTGGTAGAGTCGGGTGATTGAATTAGTTCAAATTTCGTCAGGTTGTTCTCGGATCGGAACATTTTTACCTTTCTATCTTGAAGAGCTCATTACGCCAATTTCCCAAACAAGTTGGCAGAGATGCTTCCTGATTCCTGAAACTGATATCAAGCATTTTATAACTTCCAAACTTCGCAGGAATAACAGAACAAAACTACATTTTAAATAAACAAGATATTATAAAAGCTGAACTAATCCTGTAAACTATGGGGCTTAAATTGTAAATTTTGTTAAAATTTGCAGAGGACATAAAGATTGCCCAATTAATCCTGGGATTCCTAGTATAGGAAGTGACAAACAACCTTTTATCATTCAAAATAAATATGGAGTATAATATACACAAAGATGTACATAAAAAGGAACCATCGGTAGAGGACTTGTTTTGGCACTCCACCAAAATCTATACTCCTCTGATAGCTACCAGTAGTAGTACGAGCAAAATGGGAGATGCGAGAAAGACAACATACAAAGCAGCTTGATTAAAAGTATCATCTTTCTCTTCAGCACTACCCAGAGTATAATCTACTTTGTCCTCAACAAAAGCTTCGAAATAGCTCTGGTATCCAGTGTTCTTGGGTGGTGCAGTTGATTTAGTAACTTTCAACATTTCCATGGCCTGCCATATTAACAACATATAAGCTGCTTTAGTCCCCAAAATGTATGCCACACTTCTATATAAGAAGAATTAACTTCAACTTAAGAAAGATGTGCTCAAATCAAATTTGTAAGCTTTGTGGATTAGCCTACACCCACTGAACATGTAAATTACTTGATGCGAATGAGACAACAAAAGAAGCAAAGTAGGGAGTTGCCAATGAATTTTATAGGAAAATTCATAAAATTTGTTGGATTCTATGAAGGGACATACCAAAGGAACCAATCTAACAAATGTTTCTACGTTTGGTCATTGCATATACAAAGTATATAACTTCATATCGAACATGAATCAAAGCGGATTCAGGGGTGAGTACAGACAAGGCCAAAAGAGCTTATATACGCCATTAAGAGACTCTATTTGATTCAATGTCACACAATTACTCTATCTTAATTTGATTAACTTTCTTCCCACTACTAAAACTTTGGGTCCTACATAGGTACACTCTCTCTTATTGACTAGATCTAGTTATTGAGTAGGGTAGCCTAGTGATAATAGGGTTAGGGCCAAGCTCAAAGGGCTTTTAATGGACAGGGCCCTTATTGGGTAAGGGTCAATATAGGGCCAAAATGTTTTTCTAATTTAATGGATAAAGAAAAAAGATAATGTAAAAATAATTACATACATAAATTTGTATTCATATATACTTAATAATGGCTTCGTTTAATATTTATTTTAATTGATATTATTGGTATCGATCCGCTATTGACCCACGACCCGCATTAGCCCAACCTGCTATCGACCCTAAAAAAAATGTGACCCTCTTTGACTCCACCTGCAATCGACCCTGACCCGACCCGCCCAATAACCAGGTCTATTTTTCGCTAAAGGTATCTCATCATCTCCCAGCACATCCACAAAATTTATTTAATTTTTTTTTAAAACAAAATTTTTTTTGGAAATAACATCCAATAATCAAACTTATTTTCTCAACCTAAGTGCCATAATAAATGGGCCACACTAAATTGGGACGGGAGGAATATAATGCTATAATAATGAGACTAATGACAACATACAATTTACCTAATTTATAATGCTAATCAACACAAATTACTACACAAGGTTGGCTTCTTAATTCACACAAAAAGATTTAATGATGATGGCCACTTCATTAAATTATAAACATTGTATACATCCTAAACCAATTGTTTAGGTATTTAAACGGGGATAGGAAGAAGCACAATAGCAGATGCAAAGCATAATACATAGAGTGTATGGTAACAAAGCGTGCATGATAATATATAAAGCAACAATACAGAAGTAAACAAATTATATGAACAAGCTTATTAGTATAGAAACCTACATCATAAAGAACGGTTATCCAAACATTGCTTGCAAATGTGTATGGTGCTTGTTTAGGGTTCAAAATTGGACGACGACATGGGAAACGAGGGTTTTCTTACACTCCAAGGATGTTGAAAAACACAACCCCTATTCATAGAGAAAAGGGGTAAATTAGAGTAGAAAGAGTTCGAAAAGGGTTGTGTCGTGCATGCATGTTGCATTAAGGCCATTGTGGCAATAGCCTCCCTTGGATGGAAGGCTCCGTAGCAGTAGGTCCTTGCATTGTGCATATCGGATCCCGCCTTACAGAAAATCCAGGTCTAAGTCATCCTGCACCCCTAATTAGGCCTTATAATTGAGTTGATGCATGATATGGGTATTTTTTTATGGTATGAACTAATTATAAATTAATTTCTTGGCAAATTTTCGAAATCTTTAACTGATTCAAGGAGACAAACATTTAGGTGTCTGTAACTGGGCAAATCGGTTTTCCAGGATAGAAAACAAACCAAACATAGACTAAGAATCTAAAAGGCATGTTTCAGTGAGACAAAAATTTCATCATTACTCAGAGTGCGAATCAAAAACATCGCTTACGAGATTAACCAATATTTTTAGCTGATGATGATACATATTTTAGAAAATACAGTGCATCACGAAGGAACATCATAGAAATGCTAGTATGCTACTCACCTTGAAGCTAAATACAAATTGTCTTGCCTTCTTGCTAATGTCGGCAGTAGGGTGTGACTGAAGCTTCTCATACATAGCTCGAGCTTCTTCTGTCCTGCAGAAAAAGCCCGAAATACAAGAAAGATTATCACCGTTTTGAGGCTTTGGAAGTTAGCAACATAAATAATTGGTTCCTAGACGCTTCATACAATGAGGCTTGCAGCCAAGTCCATGAATATATTTGCGTCTTAATTTATAATAAAGATTTTGAAGTTTTCACATCTACAATAGCAGTAAATAACCTGTAGAAGTGTAATTCCCTGTGAGGAGATCTCGAGTTAGAAAACTGTAGGGTGTAAATTGAATGAAAAGTTCAAGTAAATAGATCTACGTGGAAATGTAGAATAGCCTATAATCATATCCTGTTCTCCAAAATTGTTTTCCATTATGGGTGTTGTAGTTGTAAACATGTATAATCCTCCCTTTTAAGCACGTTTGTGTATTTGCCCATTAAGTAGAAAATAAAATCTCCCTCATGAATAAAGGTGCAAACACCTTCACATAAACCATAAGCTTTTAAAATAGCCTAGTTTAGAGGTTTCTCCCTGAACATGTCCTCAATGATACAAAGGTCAAGTGGAAATCCTATGATATAGCAATAGGCTACCAAAATGAAACATTTTTTCCATCATCCAAATAATATATTACCCCCCTCGGGGATTTTTTAAGTGTTACACTTAGACTAGCATGTAGTTTTAGGTAAATTAAATAAAAAGATGTAAGTGGAGTAGTTGGAGTATTATAAAATTAGAAGAAAAGATAATGGGTTTAATAATTTATTGAAAAGTAAGGGATATGAGAGGGGAAAGAATTTATAAAATAGTAGTGGGCATGAGTGGGGAGCTGGGGACCAAGGGAGGATAGAGATACATATTAAAATGGAGTAGTTTGCCAAAAATGGAAGTATAATACTTAAATAAAAACGGCTGCATTTGGTAAGTGTAAGATACAAATGTGAAGTTATGAACCCAACAAAAGAAATGATAATCATCCAATGAAAAGAAGGGGAGTTTTAGTTTAAGGCCCTGCATTATATTCTCTGTCTTTACCAAGTATGCTTTGAGCATCTATTCTTTCCCTCCAATATAGTTTAAGACCCTGGATTATATTCTCTGTCTTTACCAAGTATGCATTGAGCATCTAGTCTTTCCCTCCAATGTAACTAAAATGCAATCTTTCAGCTCATCTTTAAAGTTCATTTTTCCTTTTGATGCAAGCAGGCAATGACAATGAAAATTTACTAATAAGCACAAAAAGAGCACCATGGTAAGGCATTTCATGGAGGATCTTCCAAACTATACTACTCAACCACACCAAAAATGTTTTGCTAAGGCACATGAGCTGAATGCTTGTCAAACATGCTGCAATAAAATCATGGAATCGGTACAGTATAATGTGACATCCTAGAAATGCTTCATCAATTATAATGCAATATTATGAAATCAAAAGTATTAATGGTCATGAACCAGAACTATCATGAGTACCTAAGACAGCTATTATATGAATGAATCATAAATGCTACCAAGTAACAGATCTCATGACCTGCAAGAGCATACCTACGAAGTGAATCTTGACAAATTGACCATTGTAGAGCAGCCAAACCATGAAGCTTAGTCTGCAAACAATCAATCAGCAAATATAAATAAAGAGGTTAAAATAACATGAGTTATGTAGCAAGTATTCTAGTTTTCACGAAAGCTTAGTTGGTTACCGGAATTGAACAATAACCCTTATATTTGCTCATGAAAACAATACCTTTATAAAAAAAAAAAAAAAAAATCCTTTTAATCCACCATTAATGGTCCTTCTTTTAAAGTAATTCTGCTTTGACAGTGTCAACGAGGTAAGCGGTAGTATTTACTGATTCTTCACAATCCATTTGCTTGGATAGCTAGCTTCCCTAATGCCACCACACCTACCCTTCATTATTGGATACAATGGTTGCTAAGGCATTTCTCTGACTTAAACCAGTGCTCAAAGGATGGAGTAATAAGATTTGTAGTTCAATTTTTTTTCCCTTTCTATCCTAGAACATCAGCTCTACTCTTCTAAGGTATCTACATCTTTGGCCATCAATACAAATTTTGTGTTCATTTTTTGGGGAGGAAGAGGGGGGGGGGGGAGTGGTAAAATTACTAATTTTGGTCCAGCAACAACATAGCATGATCTTCCATTAAAGGCAAACTAAAAAAAAAGCCCAATTTGTTACATCCAAACAGTGACTCAAATGAGTTATACACTTTAGTAATTAGGCATAAATAAAACCCCCAAAGATGAAGGAGTAACCAGAATGGATGAAATGCAAACTGCTTATATATAAGTAATTAAGTAAATACTTCGTATATTAAAACGTACCTGGAAAGGCAGCTTATCCATAACTATTTGATAGTATGGTAATGCCTCCTTCAGCCTTCCTACATCCATTAAGGAGTCTCCATCTTTCAATGCCTAAAAGACTATATCATTGAATTAGAGTATAGGAAAAAAAAAAAAAAAAAAAAAAACAAGAAAATCACTGTCATTCTTTAATAAAGCCAGCTTGGCAAAAGAAATAAAAAACAAAAGAAATTAGTTGATTGAAATGAACCACAATCAGAAGACTTCCTCATTCATTCAAGAAGCCAAATCAGTAATAATAATTAACCTACTGCACAAATAGCTTTCTGCGTTTCTCAATTATTGCAACAGATACCATTTTGCGGATGTTTCATATACTTATAGTACTTGCAACATTTCGGTAAGTTTTTTTATGTGATTTTCAAGTTTCCTCATAATTCAACTATCATCGTGTCAAATTTTCACAACCTCCATGTTCATTGGTGGTGTTAGTTTTCAACAAGGTACAATTTTTTTTTAAAATTAAAAAATAAAAAATAAATTATAAAAAATAAAAAAAATAAAAAACATTTATCAAACTTCTTCTCTCTTGATCTTCTGGTGTTAGCTTCCTCTTGTCTTTGTTCTTTGTCAGTGAATCAATCATTTTCACGCCATTTACTTGATGACTTCAGCTAATGTTTTGCAGACTTGTCTCTTATAATTTTCTTCTGGTGACCCCCAAATAAGTTTTTCCTTTTTCTAGGCTTCAATAGTTGCTGCATTTTGGGGTACTCTTAAACACTTTTATTTATTTGTTACTTATAATCAAACCATTTTCATCTTCTAAGTACTTTTGTTTTTCTAGCTTCTCATTATTATTTAACATTGAGATGTTGAATTTGTTGTTTTAGTATCAATTACTATAGTTTGCTGCAATTGCATTAATTATTTGTAAACTGTTTCTTTAGTGGGGAACTGGAATGTGGTTGTCATGAAAATTGTGAGCTATATTTTGTTTATTTATTGCATCAATGGAGGCTGTGAGGTCTCTAGTATGATCAAGAAGTAGGTGGGAGTAGCCATCGTGAAGATGAACAGGTGGTGGGGGATGGTGGATTGGAGTAGCCATCGCGAGAGCACAACTGCAGAAAAAAGAGGGGGGGTACAAGAGGGTGTGACGATTGCAGCGGCTGGGTTAGGTAAGCAAGACAGTGGTTGTAGTATGGCTAGGTTGGGATAAGTGGTGGAAGCACTTCTAGCATGATGAGATTGGGGTAGGTGTGTTATAACTTGAGGGGTAATAACGTCCTTCTCACCTTATTTCTCCACTTCCTTGTTTTGCGTGCCATTTCTCAAATTTGCAAGAATTAAGAAATAAAGCCTATAAATGTAGTATAACAGAACAAGGTTACTAATACCTTTCAAAGGAGGATTTTTCCTTTGAAGTCCTAGCATTAGATACTATATCAATTTCCAAAAATATGATTGGTAAAAAATAATATAATATTAGTGCATGACTAAAGAAGGAGTAAAGAGCACAACTACTCCCTAAACTTAGCCAAAAGTTGCAGTTAGCTCACTGAACTTTTAAAAGTTGCAAGTTACTCACTGTAACCTCTTGTGACCTTCATTTACAGGTTAATTGGTAGAGCTCCCTAAACTTTCTGACATAAAAATCAGCAACTCCCTAAACTTTCTGACATAAAAGTTAGTGCACACCCTAAACTTTCCTATAACTCCCTAAACTTCCTCACATGATTTTTTATTAACTAGCCATTACAAAAATACTGATAATAATAGTAATAATAATAATAATAATTAAAAATCGATATTATATAAAAAGAAATTAACAACAGCTATATATATATTCCAATGCATTTTCGATACTCTGTTATTATTTTGTAAAATAGAAAGTGAAGAAAGCTCCCACAAAAAAAAAAAAAAAAAAAAAAAAAAAAAAAAAGGAATTATTCTGTAAAAATGAAAAAAAAAAAATGGCTACTATAGCAAAGTCCTTTTTTTTTTTTTTTTTAAATAAATAGCTAATTCTAGTTTTTCTTCCTTTAATAATTATTTTCAGTCTGCTTTAGCTCTTGTCAAAAAAAAAAAAACCTTAATATGTAATACATAGTAGTGACAAAACATTAAAACAACGGATCTTTTACCAAAATGGCTAATTTAATAAAAATATTTACCAAAACGGCTATTTATATAATTTAATTCCATAACTAGCTAAAATATTGATTTTGAAGCAAAGTTATTTATTTATTTGTTTATTCATCTCCTTTGAATTGGTTTAGTTCAATTTTTTTGGTTTTTTATTTATATTTTTGGTTTTTTTTTTTAAATTTTGAGTTTTTGGGCTTTTTAATTAGAAAATTTTATAGCCACGTACTAATATAAGTAAACAACCACTATTAAGCAACCCTAATTTCAACATCACAAAAAATTCTAAACTTTTTTCTAGATCATGATCGTATCACAAAAAATTGGAATTTTAAGTAGATTTTTTTTATCAATGCATGCAATTGCAAATTCATACGATGATGAGGGAATTTTTTTTTTGAAGGAGAGGATAAGGGATTTTTAGCACTATGTTCTCTGCTAAAGTATGCTAATTATAAAAGTTTAATGTGTATAATAAATCAAACATTCAAACTAATTACTATGTGATATATAATGGCACACAATGAATATGCTCATCTTGTTCGAAGAACAATCTGTGATTCCTGATTGTTTGATTTGGTAAGTCATTATTTCTACTCTGATGTTAATGTATATGGATCTTCTAATAAAAAAACAAAAAAAAAAAAAAAAAAAAAAAAAAAAAAAAACGAACCAAACTAGTGCAAAGGAAAAACTAAAGAAATATATAATTTCCTTCCAAGTCAAAAATTTAGTTAGTTTTTTTAAAGTTCCCATTGCCTTACAATTGTATGATTAGATTGTTAAACTAAAAAATATAAAAAAAAAATACTAAAGTTTAGGGAGTTTACCTATTAGAACAATAGTTTAGGCAAAGTTTAGGGAGTTAACCTGCTATATCAGGTTACTACCTGAAAAATGACCTCCAGCCTTCTGAGTAGTGAGTAACTTACAACTTTAAGAGTTTAGTGAGTAAAGTGAAACTTTTTGCTAAGTTTAGGGAGTAGTTGTATGCTTTACTCACTAAAGAAGTGATGGAAAAACCCAGTACAATTAGCTTGTTATACTCATGCTAAAGAAGACTTTCTGTTTTTAACTTGGGATCCACATTTATCACTAAGCATACCTTCTCACTTTCTGCTTTTAGCTTGGGATCCATATTTAAGCCCATTTTACGCTTGTAAGCAGCAATTAACTCCCGGGAGCGAGCTTCTTTGGCAGCTCTTTCCTCCAGAGTTTCAAGTTCTTCTCCAGGCTGAATAGTTCTACCACCACCAAACTGTAAAAACATAAATGAACTACATTCTTACTGAACCAACCAAAAAAAAAAAAAAAAAAATCAGAAAATGTGTACTTTGAACAAACATATTCCATGGTGAAGGCATGTAAAGGAAACTGCCATCAGAGACAACAAGGATAATTCAATGACAAAAAAAAAAAGCAACAGTCCAACAGAGAGATCTGTGGTGAATGCTAAATAATAAAAAGAAAAAGAAACATATACACATATGCATCAATAGGATGGTAAGCATAGTCGTAATGTAATTAACAAGTGTTTCATTACAAAAGGAGACTTAGGATTTAGAAATAAGTAAAAATCCTCCCTTCAACAATCAAAGTGGGATTTAAAGAACAATATGGTATTATAGTGTAATAGAGACAGTAGATTAAATAAATTGCATTCATCAATCAAAGTGTACAACAAAATGGGACAAACCAATATAGAATGGTGGACAATATCTTTGGAACAGATGGAATAAGAAAATGTCTACATTCAATAAGTGAAACCATCCCTCGTGGCCACATTACCCTTATTATTACCTTAACTAAGAATTCAAGAAAAGACTTAGCTAATGGTAAGATAGAGGCATAAAATTCAAAAAGATTTTAACATTATTCCTTAAAAAAGAATCCTTAATTCTGATCACTCCTTATACACAAAAATAAGGGGTATAAATCTGTTAAAACCACATGTTAAGAACATGTGAATAGTATCGCATTGAAGAAGAGGGGATGTACTAACCGGTTTATAAGCCTACAGATTTACTACTCCCATTACCAATTGGTTTTGGGATGGAAACTCCTGGGGCTTGTAGGGTGGCCCAACTCTCCTCCTTGATATCTATTTCAACTTCTCTAATTATGAACAAAACATTACAAGACATTGCAATAAACATCATACCGTTTTGGAAATGTTGTTGGGTCTGGGAAACACACCCCACGTAGTAACCTTTGGCTTATAAAGATCAGTGCTTTCTTCTTGTGAGGACGTCTTAGATTCTGAAGACGTCACATTTCCGAATTGGCTGGAATCACCAACAAGAATTTCCACATCGGGCAGCTTATCAATTGGAAAAGGGTCTGCAACTGGGATCAGACCAGCTGGCAGTCCCCTGCTTTTCTTCTTGTCCGCAAAATTTAAGCCGACAAAATCAATATTAGAAATTTTAAGGTCGCCCTTATTTACAGTGTTTGGTTCAATACTTCTATTCCCCAAATTACTAGCACTTCCTCCCTCCAATCCTACAAACAAATCATCCCATGAAGGAATCAATTACACAAGACCATATCATTAACTTACAAATTCTTTCACGAATTCCAGCCCCCATTTAGACCCATCAACAATACTTTGTAGCAAATATATCTTCTCTTTGAAATGATAACCTTTAGTATACCTGTCTGTTTTGAATTTTCCATAGTGCTACTATCAATGTTTCCTTTGTTCTTCTTATACTCTTTGGCTTTTGCCATTGCAATTCTAACTGCTTCTGGAACTTCCTTATCCCCACCTTCTCCATCACCTGAACATCCAAGACCAATACCAAACATAAATTCATAACTCAACCAAATTGGGAGCCTCACAGTTTGGAAACAAAACATAAACAACTCTAAGCATTACCACGCAACAGCTCAATCTCCTCATTACTCTTATCATCACCCAACTTTCCCTTATTCTTATCATACTCTTCAGCATTCTCCGTTGCAAGTCTGACAGCATCAGGGACCACTTTCCTTCTGCCATCTGCGTAGTCTGAAACACTAGCCAATTTTTTCAGCAAAAAAACAATCTCATTTGTTGCAAAATCTCAAACTGTTGAAAAGTCCATACTACCTGGTAAATTTTTACTCTCCGCATTGCTTCTGCCATTGCCCACAACTCCTTTGTTTTTTTGGTACTCTTTCGCCTTCTCCATCGCCCTCCTAACAGCTTCAGGGATCTCCTTTTCTCCATCACCCCCTTCTGAAATCAGACCCACATTATTATTGAATTTCAGCCCTAGACAGTTTCACAGAATTATCAATTGACCATAACTTTTTAAAACATATCACAGGCTCACAGCCTAAACATTTTATCCTTCTTCTGCTTCAAGCAAATACATTTAGCTGCAATGTTTTTGTTTTCACGCTTATCACTGCATAATACAACGGTTAATATATTAAATTGTTAACAAGAAACTTTTTTTTTTATATATATATAATTATATACTCCGGTATGTTAGACGAATCTAACACGACTATGATTTTTCTTAAATATGATTATGAATCACCAAAAATTGCAATAAATAAAATACATGTATAGTACAAAAATAGAACCGTTGCAACTAAATGAAAACGGAGCAAGGATTATATTCCGTAGTACTTTTTAAGTCCACAATGATCCTATACTTTTAACAATTATAACCTAAACCAATCAACTATAGTGAAATTTTAAGGTCTACCACTCTTAGAAATGTAGTAAAGTGTTTGGGATGGTATACAAGACTTACGATCATATCTGGTCTATAACACTACCACATTCTACATTTCTATTCACCAAAGGTACACTCTTCCAAACGATAACATACCATTTATATACTAATCCACAACATATTTTTTGAAAAAAATAAAAATAAAATAAAACAACAACATATTACCTGACAAAATCTCATCTTCTTCAACATTGGTTTTGTTCTGCTGAAACCCACCATTTTCACTTACAATTCCATTAGATTTAGCAACTGGGTATTTGCTAATTTCTTGATTTTTACCCAATAGCAATGATTTCTTATACTCTCTAGCTCTCTCAAGTGCAAGTTTAACTCTGTCTGGTACAGATTCTTCTAAGCTTTCTTCTTCTGGCTCATTCAATTCATCTTTTGAATTTCTAACAATAATAGAAGAGAATTTAAAGGGTTTAAAATTGATAAAGTTGGGGTTTGCGGGGTAAAAAAGATTGGATTTTTTGGTGGGTTGAAAGGTTTTGGTGGAGTGAAGAGAACAAAACCATGAAGATTGACTGAGAGATGACATAATTTGTTGATTAAGATTACTAAATTAAAGGTTTAATATGTTTTCTTGGATATTAATTTGGCCATGAACATCAATGGATTTTGGTATTGTGCTTTGGAAAATACCGGTAATTTGACAAGGATCAAATCCTAAATCCGGATAAATGAACAGTCCAACCAGGTTCACAGATAAAAAGGAAAAAATAATAAAAATTGTACGCCACGTGTGAGTAATTTGGCTTCGTTATTTATCTTACAACAAGTAGCTTTTGAACCCATTCTATGCACGGGTTGCATATAAGTTATTATTAATACTTAGTGCTTGTTTGGTTGGAAGATATTTTCCTTGAAAATGGAAATTATTAGGCAATTGTTAAAATATGTTGTGTTTGGTTAGAAATTTCCAAGGGAAATGTAAATTCCTATATAACATAGAAAATAATTCACCAAGCCCTCCCTAGGTGAGTGAGTTTCTATAATGCATAGAAAGTTATGTCCTAGGAAATACTAATTCCTATGATGTCAACCAAACACATTTTCACAATTTTTATGCAATTAGCAAGGGAAAAAACTTCCCATGACATATGATTTCATGTGGGAATTTATTTCCCATGTTGAACCAAACAAGCACTTAAAATTCACAAATTACTTGAATAATTTTATTTAATCGGCTTTTGACATATTAGAACATTGGCTTACAAAAATGCTTAATAAAATTATCTAACTGTATGGTAGTTAATCAATAATTCGTATTGATTATAGAGAAAGGTAAAGACGAAGGAGGACATGTGTCAAATTCAGTTTGTATTTTTAAATACTCCGGTACTATAGTATAAAAGTATAGATTTTCTTAAATTTTTTTGTTTCAATGATCAAATTTTGTGTTGGCATATTGTTTTATTTTCCCATGATTTTTCATATCGGTCTTCTTATATATGTAAGGGGTCTTGTGATTGGGTAATAATCGAGCAAGGCAAGATTGAACTTTTTTTCAACGATAAGGAAAATCCCAAACTTCTTGAATCAGAGATAAAAAATATTGTCAAATAAGCCAATACTTTGTTGGCTAGTCGATATCGAACTTGGGTTGTTCGAACTTAACTCGTTTCACTTATATTCAAACTTGATGCGAGGTTCGAGCTTTGTTGCTTCAGAGTATTTTCTTTACCTTCTTGGGATTGTTTGGAATTGGCGGTTGACTGATTTGTTTGGCTTGTTTGACCAATTGAAAGTATTGGTTGTATGCTTGTATGAATTGACTTTTTATATTGGTTATTTAACCTAACTGTTTACAATAGTGTGGCAAAATTAGTTGTATTGGCTTTTAGCTTTTGGTTGAAAAGTTAACGAAAAAAACCAACAACCAAATATGTTTTTGGGTTGTTTAACCAAACTAAAAAGCCTAAAGTCTAGCAAAAAAACTGCAGAGTATTTGCCAAACACCTTACCAAAACTTTTAGTTCAATTTAACTCGTTCAATTCAACTTAGGTCACTTTTTATAACTTTAATTTAATACAATACGAGTACTTCATAATTCATATCCAATGTAATATTCAATACTTCCGTACTCTATTTTCGGGTCGGATATCCGATCGTCGTACCCCCCTTTCTTTGCAACCTCGGTGTGCACTAACTGAATCAGTTAAATCATAATGCAGCAGTTTGCGCAATAGCTGAGCTAAGAGGGACAGGAAAACAGAAATACGAAGTACACAGCAAAAATGCGTCGCCTTACTGGTAACTTTCTTCTTCATCATCTTCTTCGTTCTGCAAATCCCCAATCTTCAATCATATACTCTGTATTTCAATTTCAATTTCAGTTTCAGTTTCAGTTTCATTTCCGAAATTACTCAAATCATGCACATGAAATCGATACTTTTGTTGATCGTCAATTATTTATCAATCATGTAAGAGACCAATGTAAATTAGGGTTTTCCGACATGAATATCCCCCTTTCCCTTTTTCGTCAAATGACTTCTGTACGACCTCTTCCTTCAATCATTGATTTCTGTCAATTATTCACTGCAATGTCTAAATTGAAACGCTTGCAACCTCATTCCACCATTATTGCTCTCTTGAGGGAGCTTGAGTTATTGGGTATTCGGCCCGATAGGCAATCATTGGGTATTCTTGCTAATTGTTATTGTAATTTAGGTCGTGTCGATTTCGGGTTTTCTCTTATGGGTAAATGCCTTCAGCTTGGATATAACCCTAATTGTGTTACATATAATACTTTGATTAATGGATTTGTTCTTGGTGATAAGTTGCCTTTAGCTAATAAATTGTTGGATAAGATTGTTAATCAAGGGTTTCAACCTAGTATGGCTACATATGCTGCTTTGGTTAAAGGGCTTTGTAGGATGGACCGAAAAGCGGGTGCTATTAAGTTGCTTAGTAGAATGCAATCGGGTCCTTTTAAGCCTTGTAAGTTTATGTACACCACCATTATCGAGAGTCTTTGTAAGGACGGGTTGTTAAACGAGGCCTTGGATTTGTTTGCCAATATGAAAAGTGAAGGTATTACTCCTGATGTTGTTACGTATGCCTCCTTGGTTCGAGCCATCTATAATTCTGGCTCTCGGAAAGAGGCTAAGCGTATGTTGGATGAGATATTAGATAGCAACATAGGGCCGGATGTTCAGACCTTTACTACGCTGGTTGACATGTTTTGTAAAGATGGGTGTATTAATGAAGCAGAAGCGATTTTGCAGTACATGATTGAGAGAGATAAGGCTCCAGATATCGTTACTTACAGTGCATTACTTCATGGATATTGTTCGCGTTTTCAGATGGGAGATGCCGAGAAGCTACTTGATCTCATGGCTCAAAAGGGTTGTGAACCTGATCTTGTCATTTTGAGCACTATGATTAAAGGTTATTCCAAAATTGGAAGAATTGGGAAGGCCCGCAGCTTATTCCAAGAGTTTTATAAGAGAGGGATAAAACCTGATGTTGCTGCCTATACCACTCTTATCAATGGCCTGTGTAAAGCAAAAGAATTCAAGGTTGCAAGGAACTTATTCTATAAAATGCAAGAACGTGGCATCCCTCCAAATGTTGTCACCTATGCTTCATTGTTTGATGGCCTATGCAAAAGTGATAGTACTCACGTGGCAATGAAAATGTTGGAAGGTATGGAAAGAAAGGGTGTTCAGCCTGATATCACCATCTACAATATCCTAATTGGCAGCTTGTGTGAGGCTGAACGGTATGATGATGTGTCGAAGTTGTTATCTGATCTTGCATCCAAGGGTTTGGAAGCTGATGTTGAAACATTCAATATAATGATCAATGTCTTCTGCAAGAAAGGGCTCATGAATGAAGCAATTCAGTTACTGACTGAAATGGAGGAAAAAGGCTGCTATCCCAATAGTGAAACCTATGATAATATTGTTAGAACATTTATTCACAAGAATGACTTATCGAGTGCATTATACTATCGGGATGTTATGGTTGACAAGGGATTTGAAGCTGGTGCTAAGAAATTGCCGTTAAAGAACACTCTAAGAGATAGAATCAGAAATGAGGCTATTCGCAAGAAAGTAGGTGTGACAGGTATTGCGGATAAACTAAGGGAAAATCGCCTACGTTGTGCACCGGTATGAAGAGTGGAAGAATGAGACCGTGGAAGGATTAAACAAAGGAGATTGAGTCCGAAAATGACTTGGTTGAAAAGAGTTAGGAAGGGATGGAAGAGGAAAATTTGTCGATGATTACACGGAATAATCAAATTTGGTTCATATAGCCGACCCCACTTATGGGATTAAGGCTTTGATTGATTGATTGATGGATTGATTGCTAAGAAATTACCGTTGTCCAGTAAAAACAGAAATTGCCGCAAAAGTTGACATAAATTAGAAATCATTGCAAAGATGGGCAGTTTTGTTGCCTGTATGCCCTATACTGAAGGATTGTGCCTCAGGTATTTTTGTTGATCTTCTGTAGCTGAACTATAGTTCTGTAACACTTCTAAATCAAATTATATCTCCTTGATGTTATAATTCTTTGTACATACTTAACAATTCTCTATTCATCGTCTACATTTTGATATGTAACCTCTTACGGCTTTGTTGCCTTGTTGATGATTGACCTTCTATATTTGGTATTTTCTCTGTTCTTCTGTCTGATGTACATGTCAAAGATCACAGACAGTGCTAGTTAACCATATCACACCATTTTAACTGCCTCGTGAAATGAAGAAAACTTTACATCCATGGAATTGGGATTTTGGTATGTTCATATATACTTTCTGATACTTTAAACTGGAATTCTTGTTATTCTCCTGTTTTTTTTTTTTATTTTTTTTTTGACGTTTGTTGGAAATTTCATTAAAAAAAAAAAAAAAAAAATTAAGATTATGCTGCTATTGCTATCTGAAACTCATATGACCCATCTTTAGGCCATATTCAGGAAGAGAATGAGGGATTATTTGCAGGAAAAAAAATAAGTAAATTCAAACTTTAATAATCATACTGTATTTTATCAAAAGTTCCAAATCAAGGGACCAGTGCATGGTATGGGGAAGCTGATGAGATGCTGAATCTTGATAACTCAAACAGTTGTCTCATACTATGCATAAATTCACATGTTTTGTTTTACTAGTGCTACAATACATGCATGAATTCTTCTGCATTTGGGTTCTTTCAAATGAAGTTCCAACAGGCAAAAGTTTTAAGATAAATCGATCTGGCGGTGCTACCGAAGTTTCAGATTCTGAATCTTCTATAAAAAGCAAGCAATTGTAGGCATATTACAGAACAAACCTTTGATCTGACCTAGTGTCTCAAACATTAGCCAAAGTTCTGAAACAGGGAGCAATGCAGAAGGTGGTAAGATTAGTCCTTTTTCCTTTACCCTTGCAAGGCCATGTTACACCAATGTTCCATCTAGCCACTCTACTCCACGGAAAAGGTTTCGCAGTCAATATCATCCAAACTAGATATAGATCTCTTGATCCTACCCTATTCCCGCACTTCACGTTCCACATCCTCGATGATGATGGCCTGCCTGATAACGCCACATTTGGAGCAAGTAATCACACCACCATCCTAGCCACACTAAACACAAACTGCTCAGAACCGTTCAGAAGTTGCATAACCCAGATTTTGAGCAAAGACCCCATCGCTTGCCTTATTACAGATCCTATGTGGTCGTTCACACACTCTATTGCCACTAGCTTCAGCCTTCCCAGGATTAAGCTCAGGTGTGCTAGCATGTCTAGCTTTTATGTTTATCATTCACTGCCGTTTCTACGAGAAAAGGGCTACTACCCTCTCCAAGGTAGTTTTGGATTCCGATGCTCTAACAACTAGCAAATTGAATTCTGATTGTCTATCCTTTATTTCATTCCCTTTCTTTCAAATTCTTGATTATTTATCTAAGTTTATCTCTCACACAAACATATGATTCAGAGACTAAATCTGATGAGCCAGTACCAGAGCTTCCACCTCTCAAAGTGAAAGACCTACCTCCAGAACCAAATCACAACCTCTTGGTTGATATAATTAGAGAAATGGAGTTCTCAAGGAATCATCTGCAACACTTTCGACGAACTTGAAGATTTTTACATAACAAGAGTTCACCAAGTCCTTCCCATCCCTATCTTTACACTTGGTCCATTACACAAAAACTCGCCGTGTTTTCATCAAACAAGTATATGGACACAAGACCATACATCCATTTCATGGCTAGATACACAACCCCCCAAGTCAGTGCTCTATGTTAGTTTTGGGAGCATGGTAGAAGTGACCAAAGCCGATTTTGTAGAGATAGCCTACGGATTAGCCAACAGCAAGCAGCCTTTCATATGGGCTGTTCGTCGAGGCTCAATTGAGGGATCAAATGAGACTGATCCACTCCCCTTGCCTGAGGGTTACTCGAACACAATAGGTCAAAGGGGTAATATTGTCAACTGGGCACCTCAACAACAAGTTTTAGCCCGTCCTGCAGTAGGAGGCTTCTTGACACATTGTGGATGGAACTCGATCATGGAGAGCATTAGCGAAGGTGTACCAATGCTTTGCCTGCCATTCTTTGCTGATCAAAATATAATCACGAGGCATGTTAGCGACAACTGGAGGATCGGAATGGAGCTGGACAAGGGGATTGAAAGGGGTGAAATCGCGAAGGCAGTTAGAAAATGATGGTGGAAGAAGATGGTCAAGCAATGAGAAATAGAATCACAGCTCTGAAAGAAAAAGCAACTCTTTCTGTTATAGAAGGTGGCTCCTCTTACAAATCCTTGGAAAATCTCACTTACTATCTAATGTCATTCTAATCAAATTCTTGTATTTTCTCTGTACTTTTCAAAGCTTCTCATTGTTATTTAATCCATATAACGTACACACCATTTAACTGCCTCGCGAAATGAAGTAATTAACCATTGAATTGGAATTTAGTACTTCCTCTGTCTCAATATATAATTCCTGTTTGTATTTTTTCACGATATTTAAGAAATGGGAGGAGAAAGTGGATAAGTACATTAAAGTGGAAAAAAGTTAGACAAAAGTACAAAATAAATGGATAATTTAAGGAGAAAAAGTGAAAAGTTTAATTATAGACAAAAGTTAGAGAGAGAAAGTGGAAAAAAGTACAAATCAAGTGGATAATTTAAGGGTGAATTAGGAAGTTTAATGAATAAAGTTAAAAAAAAAATGAGGGCATAATGGTCTTTACATATTATCTAAAAATAGAAACATGAACAACATTTTGGATCTCCAAAATAGGAAAACAGGAACTATAATATGGGACGAAGAGAGTATGTTCATATATACTTTCTGAGGCTTTGAACTGAAATTCTTGTATGTTTTTAAAAAAAGTTTGTAAAGTATCACTGTATGAACAATAAGAATTGTCCTCCCTCAAATTATTTTACTTTTAGGGTAGATAATAGGGTACCTTTTTTTACGCAAGTAGATAATAGGGTACCTTTTTTTTTTTTGTGGGTAGATAATGAAAAAATAAGAACAAAAAATTTAATCGAGGACTAAAGAGTTAGTGGAGGGTCTCACATCACATGAAATATGAAGAAAGAGAATGAACGGGAATTTTAATGGTGCATTGTAATCGATTCATGGTAACCAATTCTTTCGAACCTGAGTAAACGGTGAAAGTCCACTAGGGCGTTACACCTAATCCTACGGGGCTAATCACACATGATGCAAAGAACCAGTAGATCTACTACACAAGTCACAAGTCATAAGTATCAACACTAATGTCACTTGCACATTAATTTGTTTATTTCCATGTGATACTAACAAGTCTTCCTGAAATTATTCGTATACATAGATGTTAAAAGTATTTAGAAACCAAAGGAATATAATTAATTAGAACTAAAGTACATACTATGTTCCTTTTTTTCTTTGATACGAAGTCTGTACTTGTTCATTTAGTTGCTCTTAAGTTCTTTTAAGCACAATTCAAAGTCAATATACTAGAATTGAGTCTTTTACAAGTATCATCAAATAAAAGAAAAAAGTCGTACTTGTATTTTATAGAATCTTAACCGCCATTTTTCACATACATTTCATGTTCTTTGATGTCCATCGTTGACAGAACATGAAAATGTAATGAAAAGAACTCACAAAAAAAACATCATGGTAATGGTGTCATGGTCCACGCAAGTAATTATTAAATTGTGCTAAGGATAGCTTATTCCACTCTTATTGCAAAATTAAAGTATATTTAAGGGGATAGGGTGTGAGCCTGTGAGGACATTAGCATTGCCTAAGAACAAAGAGAGAATTGTGTAGAACATAGACAAGCCTCTACCATTAGAGCTTCAAAGATGGCAACAACTCACTTCCAATTACTCGAACTTCATTAGAGACAACTCACCAATAACTACAAGTAGATTAGACGGGTTTACATCTATGAACCCTCACGCTTCAGCAGCATATCACTAGATAGTGAAAGCAGAAGCACAAGTGGTAGGGGCACTCGAAAATCAAAAAAAGAAATAAAAGGTGAAGCATTGTTGCAGACAATTAATAATACAAGTCCAGGAAAACATTAAAATGACATAAGACTCGGGTTCCCAAAGAACGGCCTTCAATTTTGGAAGGCAAAGATGATAAGAAGATACAACCCTCAATTGGACCATACATGTACAAGGCCGTGCCTGTTTCCAGTATATATCTCATTGCGCTCTTCATCGTAGAAGAGAGCTGTGATGTCTTCCAAAGCCTCTGCGGGCGTACTCCTAATCCTTGAAGCTTTTACTCGCTTCTTTGAAGAGCTACCACTACTACTGCTACTGCTACTGCAATCATCTTCCAAATTTGAGCAGTTATCTGCTCTTATTTTTGCAAGGCATTTTCCGGTCAAGATATTACTGACATTAATAGAACCAGCTGCACGACATATAATAGTTAGAGCATATCAAGACATCTAAATCCAGACATCTAAAAATTTCAAAAGATAATTTTAGCACACTAGTCTAAGACATCACAGCAATAAGCATTCCCGTAGAAAAATGTGGATCTTCCCATGAGAGCATGTGCGAGCAACCAATGAAAAATACTTGCCAATAATTAATCAAAAACACTCAACACGTACAAGCAATAATTAAGTTCATTGTCTATCATGTTTCACAAAAAGAATAATGTGCTGTCAATTTCTCAAATCTAAATTAAAATTTAGTACTGTATAAACCAAAGCATCAGAAGAAGATTTTTAGAGGTTTTACCATTTCCTTCTGACAAGGGATCATCAGAATCTGCCTTACAGTAAGAAATAATAAGATCTTGGTCACTTGTGATATATATGTTGTTTGTATTGCAGTCAGGGTGCCACAAGAGGTGGTCCTCAAAGGAAGTGACAAGCTCACCACGGAAGTTCCACACAGCAACAGTTCTATTCCTAAATGTCAAGAATAACTGGTTCTCGTACAGAAAAATAAAAGCAGATGGGGTCATAAAGTCGGTTTTACTGACTTCAGTTAACTCGGAGTTCCGTACCTGCAAATAGTGGCAGCATACCATTAGGAATATACAATATAATTGCTATATAAGAGAATATTAATAAAATAAATCAGATAAGTCAGAGATTTTTACATCAAGAATCTGAAGATTCTCATTTTCTTGCTTGACGAGAAGCTTTTCATTGAATTGTTCGATGAAGTCCACCTTTTTATTACGATGGATCAGATGATTAAATGATTTCAGAACAGTACCATCCTCAATGGACAGTATTTTCAACGGAACATGGCTGGTATTTTTGGTAAATATCAGTAGCATGATCCCTGGGCTGTTTATAGGAACAGGAAGGACACGTGAAGATCAATGCATACAACAAGACCAGCAAAGCATGTTAGCTACATAAGCAGAAGGAAATCAACATGCTGAACCATAATAAATCCAACAACATTCACATTAACAATAAAACATATAACATGAGAGGAAAATTAAGATTTTAATATGCCTTTAAAGCAATTGCTTTGATTCACCTTGGAGAGCAGGATTAAATTGGTTGATAAGAAATAAATTAAGCCAATGTACTATAATCATCTTTTGCCTAAAGCATCATCATAACCACAAACAGATGAAGGCAGCCTTAACAAATTTACATTTTACTCTAATAAATTTGATTCTATGTTCACCAACTTCAGGCAAGCATATAAAGGGAGTCGCAAACACTTTTCATTTTCCTCTTTTCAGCAGCCAAAGGATAAAACTAAATATGAAACTTGCTGGCAAACAAGCAAAAGACTAAAGTACAATAATAAGAATCACAAATCAATATATTA